CAGAGACAACACCCTTAACAGACAACATCCCTTTCACCCCATGGTGTAGAATCTATATGTGGTGTATGTTTTCTTTTTCCAAAACCAGGATGAACTTTGGAACAGCAAATATTTAATCAGAGCAAATTCCCCTTGCTAAATTCTGCTGGCTTGTTCAAATCAGAGGTTCTTTGCCCCAAAATACTCACTTTACTGTAGGGTAAATATGCTGAGTCACCCACAGAACATAAAGGAGGTCTTGGTTAGTATTCAGAGCAGTATTTGCCTACTTTTATTTTGATAAATATATGATGCTACATAGCCACGCTTTGATGAGCCTGGGGGCTCTGGGCACATGCCAGGTGGTATGGAGTAAACAGGGGAGGGGATTTGTTGGGAATGATGGCAAAGATGCTCATGCCTGCTGCTATTAGCATTCTCCTTGAGATGGATTTTGGAGGAAGAAGAAAAGGAGAGAAGGGGATTTGGGGTGGGGAGCTAGAGAAGGTCTAGCTGGTATAGGTGAACGAGAGATGCCAATGTGCATGTTATAGTGAAGGATGGTTTAGGAATTAGTGCTGCTGATAGAGTCGAAGAGAGAGGGAAGGAAGAAAATAATTTAATGAATATTATAGGGCAGTAAATCCTACACAGTAAGTCCCCTACATATGAACAAGTTCCATTCTGAGAGTGTGTTCTTAAGTCCAATTTGTTCATAAGTCCAACAAAGTTAGCCTAGGTACTCAACTAACACAATTGGTTATATAGTACTGTACTCTGATAGGTTTAAAATATTTTTCACACAAATAATACATAAAAAACAAATGCAAAATAAAGGAAACATTTTAAGTCTTACAATACCTTGAAAAGTACAGTAGTACAGTACAGTACAACAACTGGCATACAGGGGCTGGCATCATGATCACATCGCTGAAAGTTCACAACTTGAAGTTTTGTGTGTAGGGGACTTGCAGTATAGAAGTACAGCCTAATGAGTGAGATTGTGTAGTTTCTTCTTCATGAATATAGCTTTTACACATTTATTTATTTATTTATTTATTTATTTGAGTTGGAGTCTCACTCTGTCGCCCAGACTGGAGTG